TGATGACGGTGATGATGATGACGGTGATGATGATGATGATGGTGATGATGATGATGATGATGATGATGATGAGTGATGGTGCTCACAAGCGGGCTGCTACGCAACTTGTCTGATATCAATGTCGTACCGGGACGGTTCGTGTTCATTGGCATCGTTCTACGCAAGTGTTACCGAAGACGACAGAATGAATCTTGAGGACGAGAATCTTGCTAACGTCGTGAGTGAGCCCGCTGCGACAACATGCGTGCGAAGCACTCCGGAACTGTCATCGCACATCCTAAGCCACATCGAACCTAAACAAGACAATCCCAAACACCACCAGAGCAACACCACAAGAACCAGCTTCAAAATCTCCCTAAACCCTAAACCCTAAACCCTAAACCAGCTTCAAAATCTCCTTGTACAATCCCCGAAATCTTTCAAAGACCTCGAGGCTCCGACGGGTCGTCATTCTTTGCGGGCCGTCAGAGCCGTTGGTGGACTCCCGGAGACCTCTCTTAGGGCTTTAGGGTTTAGGGTTTAGGGTTTATTGTGGCTTAGATGATTAGATGTAACATCGATTCACTAACCTTCGAAACATGGTAGTATCAAATTGTAAATCCAAAGTCAGCGGCTTCCTACACAGCTAACGGAATGTCTAACGAGATAGCAAAGGTATCGGTTTCGCAATCTCAGATACGATTCAATGCTGCAGAGCAGACCGAAGACTACGAGTGTCTCAAAGAGTCCGGGTCGAGTTCGGACACCCGAATCTCCAAAACATGGCCGTGTCGATATATGATTCAGCTGTGTTTCTCAGCATGTTGGGCCGGGGATCTGGGGCTCGCGAAACACCAAACTGTACACCCTTTTGGGTTCTCAGCTTCGATAGAGTTTCATGTCGGCATAAGGGTTTTGGGATGAGGTCTGGGGGGAGTTACCTCAGGGCTTGGGATTTTAGGGTTCGGTTTCAGGCCACATACTGTGCAGAGTCGACCTCTCGGAGTTAGTCGTTTCTGAAAATCATACGAAGAACCTAAGAACGAGCAGGGGAAAGGCAGAGTCTTTATTCTCTAACATACACTTGAGAGCTCAGCCCCGACGCCTGGATTGACTTGGTGTGCGCCGAAGGATACCTGCCTCAGCAGTTCCGATGATTTTCATAATCATGACGTTACGAGGCAAGAATGCCATGCGTCGCTGGAAGGAGGCACTGCCAGAATGAAGGGATTTACAATGCTAGTGCTCGTAACTTTCACTATCACAATAGCAACATGTCATACTCTAGGAAATGAAAAGTAAAGCTGATTTGAGGTCTAGGGCCCAGGAACTAGCAACTGCTACGAGTAGCAGCTCTCACAAGCATACTCGTGGTAGTGGTATCACTATCATCATCACCATCAGAACCTTCGTTGTCATGAGCACCACCTTCACCATCAGAATATCAATTAGTCAGAATTAACTCTGAACCTCAGGCAGCAGAAACCTCTGAACCTGGACCCCGAATCCCGTACTTCCGGACTCAAGCGGCCACCGGCATAAGCATCCCAAAAGGGGATCCTAAGTGGGCATATGATACTGACAACTCCTAAACTCCAAGTAATTTAAAGGAAGCTACAGGTGGGGAGTTTAGGGTATATAGGGCTTCTATAAGCCTTCTATAAGGTATATAAACCTTCTATAAGGCTCCTATAACGGTAACTACCCACCTGAAAATGTCCTAGAGTAATGCCCGCCACAACGCTCAGACTCGCGCTTTGACATCTTGAGAGCTCCTGCGGAGTCGCAGAGAGATACAGGCGCTACAGTAGCGACTTGAGGGGTTAGGGCTCAGGTTCTAGAGGCTCTTCTTGGGTCTGCCCAGAGGCTGCAACAGTTTTGGGTCTAGGGTTTAGAGCTCGGGGGGTAGGATCGAGTTCAGGGGTTTAGGTGGTGTATGGAATGTTGGAGTAGACTTAGTAGGCATTAGAACAGGGCATAGTGGATGAGAAAGAGCAGATCCTAAAACTCCCTGCGCTTACTTCTCTGCGTGGCCTCTCTTTGCCCTGACTCCCAAAACCTGAACCCTAAGCCCCTAGTGTAGGGCCTAAAGTCTAAACTTTGCCCGCCATCCCTCTAGTCTAAACCCTACGCCCCTAGACCCCTAAACCCACAATTGTGATACAACTTGCGGGCAACCTGCAGATCTCGCATCTTCTCCACTCACAGAGGCGTCCTGTCAGCTCCGGATGAGTTGGAGGATGCTTTAGGGTTTAAGGCTGCAGGGTTTTAGGGTTTAGGGTTGCAGGGTTTAGGGATCTAGGGTTCTGGGTTCAAGGCTTCAGGGGTTATAGGCGTCGGGATTTGCAATTTTGAGGCTTTCGTAGACAAGCCACGCCAAGGCCGCACCTTACGTCTGCAAGTGTTATCACTGTATGTATATACGCAGACAGGCGTATAGAACTTGTTATACATGTAAGCAGATGTAAGCATCAATATGTAAGTATGTCTGTATATTTATATATATATATATATACATAGCTCTGATCCCACTCTTAGGTTTCCATCCTTTCTTGCACAGAGCACCTGACCTGTGAGCCACCTCCGAGCTTTCTGGAGCTGTAAGTGAAGATTGACACGTCTACTTTTATGCATCGTCGTTTTGCTTGTGCTCCTAGCAAGACCACAGCCACACTAACCCATATAGGACTTTCTAACACTTTATACTGAAACAAAGCCCAAAAAACTCTGAACTTCACCACGGCCCACAAAATTGAAAGTGCGTACCGAAACACTTCGAGTATAGTGGCAGCATAGAACGACCCCCACGCCCTGGACTCTGCGGTCCAAAAACAACCCGTGATTACGACCCGCAACATCCAACGTTCTCTAACGCCTCAATCTGCAGTTTCGGCAGCCGACAGGCCTGAACCGTCCGCACCGTGCCGATACCCTATTTAGGGGCCTATAGTGGTTTAGGGTTTAGGGTTTAGGGTTTAGGGCATCGGGTTAAAGCCTACACCCTAAACTTTAAGCTCCCTCTGAAAAGCTTGTCGGGCCAAACTAGGTCTGCTCTTCGGGCTGGGCCTTCTGTTCGCTGAGCAGATCTTGAGCGATGTCCTCAATCACCTCGGAGGGTTGAGGGTTTAGGGCTTAAGGGTACCAGAAGGGCTGCAATGGGTTTCAGGTGCCTTTAAGGCTTCAGGGTTCCGAATTTAATGCTTCTTCTAAGGGTATCATGAGGGCGTTCTCGGTTTGGGGAGTCGTATGGGGTTCGGCGACCCCTTACAAGCCTATAGGTGCTGAAAGTGGGATCAGCAAGGCCTGAAGGATGGTCGTCAAATGTCAAGCTATATAATATAGGGGCCTTAATAACTAGAATAGGGTTTTTGGTACGATCATACTAAGAATAAAGAACCCCCACAATAGTATTAGTAGTTATTTAGGCCCCTACATTACTCTAGTGTATCGAAGACTTTCGAAACCTTGCGGTGGCAGCAACAAGCCCAGTCTGCACACAATCACTGAGTTGACAAGGCCAGTCTGGAATTCTCCGGCCTGGGAGCATTGCACTTTGCTGATGGTGGATTGGGAAAAACCCTAAACCCTAAACCTTCATCTTGATCAGTGCCTGTTACTGTTGCTGCAACAGTAACTAATGTGCATTGACAGTCTCAAATCTCTCTTGTTTCTTTGTGTTGCTCCCTGTGTCTTTCTCTCGCCAGGTTTAGGAGGGCACACCCACTGTGGGGAGGCACTGCGCTCTCGCCCGCTTTCTTTCTCTCTGTTGGGCATAGGGGCTACCATAGCCCTCAGGGCATAGGCCCGTCCCCTCACCCGCTGTGGTACAGAGTGAGCGGCTTTTGGGGCGTCACTGCCCCTCTCCCTCTGCCCTTCTCTCAGTATCCGTCTAGGGCCCCAAAGTACGAGTCTCCTGTTTCTGAGGCCCCGTCCGCAGCGAGGACACGGGGCTCGGTGGCCGCAGTCTGCAGGACAGACTCGAGCGCTTCGGCTTCTTCAGGTTTTGGCGTCTGCAATCTCTGGCAGTTTTATGGTTTCAGGGTGTTGGGTTCAAACTTTAGGCTGTAATTAGGGCTGAACTACGACAACGCCTACGATGACTATGCCTTTCAAAGGGCCCCTCCCGATTTCTGCTGAGACAGAAGGCAAATATAGCGAAAGGACCCAGAGCAGCAACTCCTGGCAAAAGCCGCAGTACCAAGAGTTGCTTGGGTTTAGGTTCCGGACGACATCGACGGCTATATCCTCATCACTCACCCCTCCGGTACCACCACTGCCGAATCCCAAACACCACCACCACCGCCACTTGCACGGGGGTACGATAGTGACAACGACAACTGCTATGGCCCATGGCAATGATTGTTGCAGCAATGGCTGAAATCACGAAACCATCATCACCATCATCATCAGTAGCAGTAGCAACATCCTGTAATAACCTCAAAGCCGTCTCATCAACAGCAAAAACTGTCATCCTTGGCATCAGAGAACATCTGTGTCTGCTTGATATCACGGTCGTCGTCGTCACCGTCAGCATCAACAGCGACGAAGTTCCTGAGATTCATGAACATCGCATCACCATCAACATCGCGTTTGCATTAGTTGCAGCGACAAGTCCTTCTCAATCCATCTCAAGACAAGGCAAATGATGTTGGTGACACTGGCGATGGCGGCCATGAGCAAGACGTTCGTGATCGTGACGGTGATGGCGACAGCGACGGTTCTGATGAGGATGGCAATAATCATACACCAAAACTTGAACCGGATGAAGATTCCTAACACCAGAAAATTGACGATGATGGTGCAGGTGAGGATGATGATGATGATGATCATGATCATGATCGTTGTGATGGTGATGAGGACGGTGCTGTGGTGGAGGAGGAAAAGTCACCCCCGGAAGGAACGTGAGATAGGCGCCTTGAGAGCTTCCGCCTCCATGAGGGAGGCCTGCGGACGGTTGCTGTTGCTTTCGGGTGTCGGTGTGGGCGGGCCCGGAGGTTCCCAGAGAGCCCAATACCCCTTAATTCAGGAATATACCTTAAATCATAATATTAAGGCCCCTATAATTTAAGGTATATTCCGTAATTAAGGGGTATTGGGCTCTCTGGGTTCACGCCGGATCTGTGCAAAAGCCCAAAAGTGTGGACCAACGAAGCACCTGCAAGCGGGCGATCTCGGAGCGCAGCTCCTTCTCCGTCGTCTCCAGCTCCTGGCTACTCTGCCACATTGGCACCCGTACGTGGTCACAGTCGAGTAGTCATTCGTTAGATTGAGAGAACATGTTGCCACACGCCATGCCGGCATTCTCGAACAACCTCTACACCTCCTCCAGAGCATGACGCAATGGTGAGCACAGTAGACATGGGCATGGTATTGCTCGTCATGAACCCTTGACCCCATACAAAACCCAGCCCTAGCCGACGCACTTGACTGATAGTGCCCGGCGATATGCTGAACCCTCAGCTAACCCCTGAACCCTAAACCCTACACTAAACCCTAAGCCCCTTATAGGTGTCTTGCTTCTTTCTGAGCCGGGCCTGCGCGTGAAGGGTCGCCAGCTGGGACAGGGCATCTTCGAACTTGGGAGCCTCCGGCAGACGGGAGCCCCTGAAGGTTTGGATTTGTTTTTGTATATCTTTTGAGGGCCCTTTTTTCTTTTCGAAAAGTCGGAGAACCTTGATGAGGCCTAGTTTTTAGGGTTTAGGGCTTGTAGGGTTTCAGGCTCAGGGAAAAAAAATTTGGATCAGGGTTTGGGAGGTTTCAGGGTTTCGGGTCCAACCGCTTCGGGGGACCCGGAAAAGTTGCGTTCGATCCTGCTCTGAGCCCTGGAGACGAGACGAGACCGCTCCAGAAAAGGATCCCAAGTGGAGCCAAGCCGCATCGCGCACCACTGACACCATGATACCGGCCCTGCAGGCGGACGGATTCAGAAAAGGACGAGGGTCCCTGCAACTAGCAATTGAAGGCTGGAGTCGTAGTAGGGAATGGACAAAGAAGACTCTTACATTCGAATGTAGACGGCCGTACCACTAAGCAGCATGACGACCGAGCGGCAATAGCACCCCACGAAACATCGCAGCGGTGTCGACAATGCGTTGCTCTGACATGCTCTGACCACCGTTTCTTGCGCAGACCAACATGTCCCGAAGGACTTTTTGCAACTGCTCTAAATGCTGCAGCCCATGCCCACGACGGACAGCAGACACACCAACAGAAAACAACTCAATCTAGACGGCTCTGCCCTGCCACTGCACATCCCCGAGCGACCCTAAACCCTAAACCCTAAACCCTAAACCCAACATGCTCGACCCATCAACCCCAAAGCTGCCTAAAGCTGCCGGCACCTGCCAGGGGCGCTCGGCTCGCAAGCCTTGGACATCCGAGGCTCAAGAGTCGGGGTTTGGATTCACAGTTTCTTGGGGTTTAAGGTTTAGGGCTCTAGGGTCTTGGGGGTACCCCGGTTCATAAAGCCGCTCCGTGATGTAACGTTTTGCAAGCAGGTTCGCGGTACAGATTTTGCCATTTACACTCTGTGCACCGACGTGCGCGGTCACAGTCGGCTCGGAGGTCCTAGGCACCGACACGTCATGACCGGCACATCTGCTTCTTGGTATCGAGGCCTGCGGGAACAAGAGTCATTCGAGTGATTTTAAGCCTGATCACGATACCGATCACGGCTATGATCGTTTGACTTGAAGTGGAAGTATCAGCTATCATCTGAGGATGACAGGCAATATTGGGTGGCAGTGGCAAGAACTACATGTAATATCATTATGATCATGCGTAACCGGGTATACAGTATACACAGATGGTGATGATGATAAACTATGTGCAGTAGTACTGTGTTAATACTGCGAATAAATACTTGCAAGCAGTTGGATATTGACGGTTTGCACGAACATTCTGACAGCAGTACGATGGAGTCTGTTGCACTCGACCCATGTGACGTGCCGGGTGCTGCGCAGGATCGGCGCGGCAGCGCAGACGAAGAAGCTACAAGAGATGCGTGCAAAGCTGACGTCCTATCCGTGCCATGTCAAAATTTTAAACCATAAAGCTCGAACCACCTGTTAGGTAGTAGGTCCAAACCAGACAGAATCCCAGATTCCTGCTGTCCCTGACGTCGTGGGAGCATACACTACGGCGCTTCGGCTGAGCCAGGTTTGGAAACGGCAAGGCTGCTCAAGGGACGGTCCAGATGTTCAGCTGCAATGCTCATCTTCTCGCAAAGCCATGGTCAAATGATGATGAGGATGATGATGATGATGAGGATGAGGAGGATGAGGATGAGGATTAGGATATGGATGAGGTTGAGGAGGAGCATGAGGAGGAGAAGGAGGATGCCGAAGACGGTGTATTTTCATGCTTTTGTACACCGAGCTCCCATGCAGATCTTGCAGACCATCCAGCGAACATGCACAGCATGCCGCCAGTTGGATATTGGGCATCTAAAAAGCTGGGGGTAGTACTGCATCACCTTCGGTGCATCGGGCCCCTCTCCAACGGAACAAGGCCGGATCAGCACGATCATCACAAGACGCACGGCTCTGAAGCAAAGTCAAGGTGGTTCAATCTGCGGGGAAGTGCGGCACTGGGTTACATCCGCAAACTCCCATGACGTCCGGCACACCGAAGGGCTGCAGACGTGCCCAACACTCAAAACGAATCCGTGCCATCCGTCGCTGGAGGCTATCCGCACGGAGAAACGTCCAAAAACCTCAAGTTTCTCCCATCCCGAAACCGGAACCCGGAGCATCTGTTAATCCTATGTAGGTTGTAGAACGTTGCGGGCACCTTGAAGGCAACGGCGGTGGCCAAACTTAGCCACACGACGAGCCAGCGGCGCCATGTCCATGCGACCATTGCAGTGGTTCGTCAACACACGGTCTATGCGAAGTGGTTGAACTACGTTGTGAGGCTGAAAGAGGCTGCGGAAACACCCCAGCCACTGGAAGCTTTGATGTTCAGCTGCAATGCCCATCTTCACACAGATTCATTATAAATTCTCTTCTCATGGAGGTTGAGATCTTGCACTGAAAGACCCGGCACGTCACCAAGCCTCCGCTCTCATGTTCTTGCATCCGAGGCACACGAGAGTTCTGCGGGTCGTGCTCTGGTTTCACCAGCAGACCCGCAAGGGGCTCTGGGCCCGTTGGCGAGTTTCGGAGGCTGCGTGCTATTCACGCGGCGGATCTTCCGACGCTCTTGCGGCTTCGAGCAAAGAGGCGTGGGAAAGGCACTTGCATGCACCTTCTGGAGGAACGCATGGCTTCACATCCGTGCTACACACAGAATATCTGCTACAAGTATGCACTCAATTCGGCCATTGCTGCACGCCAGCGGGCACCAGACTGACCGTCAGCACACAACGGCTCTGGTCTTTCCGGTGCCGACGACGTCAGCAGTTTGATTAGCCGTTGTCCGAGCCTCATGGGCCGCGCAGCACAGCACAGTCAGCCCGAGCTTCAAGTCGGCAAGAAACGATCAGAGCTCCTAAACTAATATAATATAATATTGTATATATTATCTTATATTATATTATATTATATTATATTATATTATATTATATTATATTTCAGTATATTGAGTTTCCCAAACCCGGATCCGAGTGTCCCGCTGGCCAGCTTGGAGTCACTGCGAGCATCGCGCCTGAAGCACGGCGAGTTATAGTGCAGCACACCGATTGGTGACTCAGTCTCTTTCTTGCGACTGTGGCTTAGAGAAGTGCAGTCCATAACATCGGAGCTGGAAGATGAATATCTATCTCCTCAAGGTTGACACTCACACCGATGTAGAGGTTGGCTAATGCCGCGGCGAGCAAGTTGTGCTGTGTTGCCCGAACATGTCGGCTTTGACATCCTGCAGGGTTTTCGCAGCAGCTCTGCACCTCTCTGACTTTCCCACTCCGAACGTTCCGTGCCCACTGATGCCGCACACTAACCCCTAGACAGCGACGAAAAACATCCCCAAGCCCTAGCACCTCTACAACCCCCAAAGAAAGTGACAACCACTCCCCACGCGTTGATACCTACATCAGCCCCTTCAAGGCTGCAGCCCTCAACATGCGCTCAGTGCTCGGCTCCGACGAGATGGAGGCACGGAGCTTGGCCACTTGCGCCTTTAGGGTCTCAGAGTTCTTGTCTCTGCGTTTTCAAAGGGGGGTTCTACATGGGTAACTCTAGGTCCCCAAAATAGTACGGCATCCTGATGAAGAGGATCCCAAAAGGGACCCTAATTTAGAGAACTACCCACTCAAGTTTGTTAAGGTTTGGAGGGGGTTCTGAAAACTCGAACGGCGAAGCCTTGAACTCTCAAGCTCTTACATGAGACCGACACCACACGTCCCGAACCCTGAAGTACGTCCCGGTGGCCTCCCGTTCCTCGATGCTCTTTTGGAGACCTCTGGCTCATGTCTGGTTAGAATAGGAATTATGGGAGATTCCGAAAATAAGGTGTACCTTAATTAGGGGTCCATATAATAAGGATCCTATTATTTAGGGTACTATATTAGGGTCCCCTATTTTCGGAAACCCCCAATTGGATGTGGGGTATCTTACGGCATCTTCTAGTCCTGTAATTGCAGAGTTCTGAGCTTGATACAGATGTCTTTGTTTTTTGTCGTTTTCATATTTGCTACCGTTTTGGTTCCTTTCGGTCCAGATGGCTAAAGCAACCGAGCAGTGGCGCGAAAGCGAAGAATTGGAACTCAAAACCTTCGCCTACACCTCAAACATCCTCAAACCCTAAACCCTAAACCCTAAACCCTAAAGACCCTGCACCATGAGCCTCACTCCCTGGATCCCTAACCCTAAACCCTACCCCCGGAAACTTACTGCCGCGGCTGGGCCTTGAACCCCACACCCTCCAATCGAGCATAAGTGGTTCGAGTACTGCGATCCTTTCATTTTTCTAGCTTTCCCTATAGTCTCCATTGTAGTTCCTTTTTGGGGATACCTTATAACATCCTTAACATAAATTTGGTTAAACCAAAAAAAGGAACTACAATGGAGACTATAGGTAGACTTGGGCATGAGCAGGCTATCCTTTGAGGCGAGGCTCTTTGGACATGTGCGGCCGCGAAGTCCACCTGCAGCAAAGCTCAGGAGGTTTCGGGCTCTATAGGGTTTGTTGGGTTTAGGATTTAGGGTTTAGGGAGGTCATGGGGTTTAAGAGTGTATCGAGATTGACAGGCTAGCAGGCTCAGGTTGCTTGAGGGTTTCTCCACGGAATTTGGGTCACTGGCATCCTCTGAGGCTTCAAAAACACCGCCAACAGGAGACAAGTCTCAATCGCGATTCCTTGCTTCAGCCCTGAACCGCGACACTCCCGAACCCGGAAGCCCAAAACCCGAAGCCCTCACTCATGAATTCCAGGGGACACAGGAATAAGCAGCCTGATTTTCAAGTCGTGCTATCAAGCGGCTTTCTCCATGTTCAGCCACTGGATTCTTTTATGGTGGCACGGGATTCCATTAGCCACGCAAGCACACGGAGGAAAATTTGACTGGTAGGTCGTGCAAAATGAAGGTGCGCAGCGATGCTACTCAAAGTCGGGTTTCAAAGTGTGCACTGCAGTGCAAAATTTGAACCCCGACTTTGCGTAGCATCGCTGCACACCTTCACTGGTCTCGAGCACAGCAAGTCTGGCTGGATATGTAAAACATACCCAGCCAGCGTGCGCAGCATGCGTGTCTGTTGAGAAACTGCTGCCAATGTGAAGGCACAAGGCCGTGATCCTTGCGCCAGCTCGTCAATGATTTGGCCGTGGGCTTTCTCGCAGTGACGAGGCAGTTCACCAGCGCTTCAGCCTTCCCATTTTCCCAGGAGTCAAATCGCGGTACCACGTCTCCTGTTGATGGAGATGCGTGTGATCTCCGACGAATTCCTTCTCTGAGCGGCGCAGACGCTTGGAGCATCCCTCTGCGGACCCACACACGAAGTACCTCAGTTGTCCGGCTAGAAGACCAACCTCCGATAACTTTTACGTTCCAAGAACATTCTAACACATAGACCCAAAACCTACGTTGCCCGGCTAAGAAGCCCAAAGAAATGAATCTTTCGAATCCAAGACACATGGCTCACATCAACCCAGAAAGTTTGCATATGACTGCAGCATGTCCCCCCTTTGGAAATCCGCCGAGGCTTCCGAGGTGTCTAGATCCAGTATCCATCCCCAACTCCTAACTGGTGGTGGCAAATTGGAGGCGATAGGCGATAGGTGCAATGGTAAGGGGGCTAACCGGGTTAACAAGGCTGGGGTGTGAGGGAAGCCCCCCGCCCACCCCCCGTTTCTGACAATGTCGAAGAGCGGATCTCGGCTCATTTGGGGATCTTCGGGTTCATCCGCCATGGTGGCGAAACGCACCTCTTGGATAATGCCGGGCCAATTTTGAGCCCGAGCGTCTTGCGAAGAAGACCAGTTGAGGAGACTCATGGACCAGAAGAATGTGCAACATGCCATCTGGGTGTGTTGTTCAACGGATTCCCACGGCAGCAGGGAGTCAGGCCTCCTGGCTGTCTTCCTTCAGCATCGCCCGGTGCCTGGAAGCATTGCTTTTCTTGTTGCCATCTTCGAGCGCGTACTCTTCCTTTACAATACACACTCAACAATTCGCCAAGGGACTTCCTTTCGTCTTGCCGAAGTGCACCACGCAAGATGTCAATTTCGCGACCTGTGCTCGGACTCCGGGTTTGGGGCTTGGACGTGGGCTTGGAGTGTAGCGGTCTCCGTCTTGTCCTAAAAGTTGCAGTTACCAAGCCGAAGGCACGGGAAGCACTACAAGCGCGGTTGTATCCATTGGATTCTGAGTTGCCGGCGCAATTGCTCCAGAACAGTCTGGCTGCCTGACTGGTAGTACGAATAGCAGCGGTAGTAGCAGCTGCGATAGCATTCACCGGAACAAGAGCAGGTTCACGCAGAGAAGGAATAGGAGTAGGAGCAACTACATAGGAGTAGCAGCTGTGGTAGTCGTCGTGGCAGTAGCAGTTGTAGTAATCACAGTAGTCGTAGGAGTCGTAGTCGTCGTCGTCTCCTTGTCTCGTAGTCGTCGCGTCGTAGTGTCGTAGTGTCGTAGTCGTAATGCCACTGCGACCTGCTACGGCTACAGCTACAGCTCCTGCTCCTCCTCCTGCCCCTCCTCCGAACACTTCTGCTGCTACTCTCACTCGTACTCTTACTGCTACTCTTACTGATCACTCTTACTACTGCGACTGCTGCAACAACTACTACTCCTACTACCACCAGTACTGCCACGACTGCCGCCACTGCCACTACCATGCTACTAATGTACGGGTAGCACATATGCCCGAACTATCTTGCACCAGCTATGGCAGCACCAGCAGTGTTGTTATGGGTACTACGGCCGCAACCAATCATTTTGTTGGCTTACACCCCTGAGCAAGACAGGCTTTCGGCGAATCCTAGCGACCATAAACACCAATCGTATGAGCATTCCTCATCCGCAGAACTGCGAACTGTCGCTGTTGGGAAAAGCAAGCCAGGCCTTTCTCCTGGCCAGTCGGGCCCTTGCGATGCAAGAGAGCAGCCTAGCATGCGGCAGCGGGACATAGAATACCAGAGCATAGACTTGCATAGATGATATGAGTCCCGTGATATGATCGACGTTGATGTTTCTGCTTCCTCTCTATCAGAGTGCCCAAGACCCCTGGCCCCTCCAAGAAGATCACAGACACCAGAGAGATCCTCTTCCGCCCAGCCCTGGAGGCCGGCCTTGCTCCGAAGCTCGCTACCCACCTTCCTGCGCTTCAGCGGTAAGTTCAAGGCACACCCACGGGAAGGAGAAGGAGAGAGGGAGGGAGGGAAGGAGGGGGGAGAGAGAGAGAGAGAGAGAGCTGGGAGGAGAGGCAGAGAGGGGAGGAGAGGCAGAGGGAGAGACACGAGCCTGGCCTTATCTCCTCCTCAATGGCCTTCCGCTGGTTGGAGAGCTTCAGCCTTTCCGAGTTACAGGGCACCGGCTCTGGGCCGGCCCTAGCTCTTCTACACTCAATTCGGGTTCCCTTGAAGGTACGGTACCTACTCTACACTGGGTCGCCGGTCCCTGGTTCCGCGCAAACCCCCAAGAAGGAGACCGGACCTGGAAAAGCACAACTTTCAGAACAAGGAAAGGACAAGTTCCCGGCCGATCCGCTTGCAGCTTCACATTCAGCCGCTTCTGCTGATCCACCTAGCACTTTCTTGTCGGGCTTTATTCGGCCGTTTAGGATTTTGAGCAGCTACGAATGTACTTCCATCTTGTCGATAGTCTGGGCGTGCAAAAACATGATGATGCCGCTGCTCCTGCTGCTGCTGCCACTCATCCTCCTCCTCTTCTTCCTCCTGCTTCTCCTGTTCCTCCTGCTCGTCTTGCTCCAGCTCCTCCTGATCCAGCTCCTCCTCCTCCTCCTGCTGCTGCTGCTGACCGTTGTTGCCACTGCTAGCACTGCTACAGCGACTCGGACCCGACAACTTTCATTACTATCGCCTGTGCGGCTGCTGCTACTGCTGCGGCTCCTGCCGCTGCTCAGTTGTTTTAGCTGCTGCTGTTTTGGATCAACCGCATCACTGTGAAATTTATTTTCGAATTGTCGCTACTGTCCTTGCCAGTGCTGCTAACAGTTTTACCAGGGCTACACGTGTTGTCCGCTGAAGCATTGTTGTCAATAGCTTCGCCGCCGGTATCATCACTACGACGAGTATCACCACTGGGATGATCGTCAGAAGCTGTAGCCGCACCACTGGCCCAACTTCGATTGTTCGGTCAACTAGGATTGATATGGGTGTTTTGGGGATGGCAATTTAATACCGACAGTGATGAGGATAAGGATGGTGTGGATCGTTACAAGTTTTGACATGACATTCAGACAAGCTCGGCGTGCCGGCCTCCATTTTCACCTTCTGAAGCCGTTCCTCTATCTCCGGCCGCACTGCACTCTGGGCATTCTCGGCCTTGCGCTGGACCTCAGGCTTTAGGTTGCAGGGCTTGGGAATTTGGGCTATCTGTTTCAGGGGTCTCACTCGTCGTAGATTTATGCTCCCGAGGCTTCAGAGTGTCAGCGCAGGATCATGAGCATGGAGTTCCAAATCGCCCTCTTTATGTCTGAATTTGATGCACACTTGAGTGAGAACGTGCCGGGGAGCAATATACATATATATATATATATTTATACACAAAACGTTTATGCTATATGACATATGATATATGATATGCGACATATGATACATGATACACGATATATGGTATATGGTGCATGATACGACATGGTGTGGCGTGGTATGATACGATATGATATGAACTGACATGGTGGGATATGACATGATATGGTATCACAATAGATATGACATGCTGTAGTATGATGTGATTTGATGCAATATGACAGGATAAGACATGACATGAACTCGTGATATGAGATGCTGTGATATGACACGGCATTGTGTGCTATGGAAACGGCATGGTATGACATGACTTGACATCACATCACACCACATGATATGACAAGGTGTGATATGATATGGTATGGTATGACAGTGTGTGCACAGATTTGTATATGACATTTATGTATGTACACATACAATGTAATCACATGTGTGACTCGCAGTATGAGCACTGCATTATTTTCTTTTATACCTTGCCGTAAATTTGTGTGGGACAGCCGTGGTAAGAATGAGTACTATAGGAGCCTAAACTATTTTAATTTGAGGGATCCTTATCATACTTGTAATGTCATATACCCCCAAACCCTATTCTAGTTATTCAGGCCCCTATATTATCCATCTGTTCCCACCTGGGGGGTTTCCGAGACTAGGGGACAATATAGCACCTTAAATAATAGGATCCTTACTATAAGGACCCCAGAATAAGGTACCCCTTATTTTCGGGAAACNNGGGTTTAGGGTTAAGGGTTTAGAGAGTTTGGGATGTGAGATGCTTCCTGAACATCTGAAGAATTTCACTGTTTTCCCTTGAGGCCCTTGAACCAAAACGGCTGCTGAAGCTCCGCTTCCGACACTTGGACGCTCCTTCCGTCGCTCTGCGAGGAGGTTGTACAGCCTCGGACAGGCTCCGCAAGCAAAGCCTCTAGGGCTCTAGGGCTTAGAGTAAGAACCCTTTGGTGTTGCCAGGAGCGGCTTTGAGGCCATGACCCAATCTCGACCAACTAGAAGCGCTAGGTGCCGTCATGGAGCCCCCGGTAAGAAATGCATCATGCTATGCCTCAAAGTCAAAGTCCGTAAAGAGGAAGCTGTAGTACGACATACCCCTAAACTCTAAACTCTAAACCT